TTTTTTTTTTTTTTTTTTTTAACAATGTTCTCAATCCCACATCCTCTGGATATTTTACATAGCATGATCCTTCCCAAGCTTATGGCTTAAAAATTGCTGACCAGTAGTCTTGGTGTCCTTCTTGGCATGTCTGGGAGTGCCAGGCCACAGGCTGCCCCACCCATGATTGGCGACCCGGGAAAGTGTTAGAATTGGGGCAATTAATTGAAAAACGTTCCCTAATGTCCTGCCTTGGCTGACCCACAGTGAAGCCAGGCCTGCTGCTCGTTTGAAAACGTTGGGACTGACCTTTTTCTTTCTTTTTTGTCTTTTTGTCTTGGGGTGCTAACCCTCCTCCTGTCCTTGCCTTCGGTCCCCAGAGAGAGAATCCAGCGCGGTAAGTGTCAACACTCTGGAACTATTGGGTGTGCTTGGGGTACTGGGAGGAGGGGGCCACGTGGGTTTGGGTGGTAGGGGTAGGAGTATTGTCATGGAATAGGACTTGTCACCTGTTGAGTGTTACCTTCAGTTGGGGAAGCCTTCATCTCTCCAGACTTTTGGTCCATCATTTGTCAAGTGAAGAGCTCCAGCTAAATGTGCTCTCATTCCCTTTAGAGGAGAGGTGATTAACCAGAGAGGTCAGCTGGCTGGCCCTGGGTCCTCCCAGGGGGTCTGCAGAGTCTGGGCTGAACCCAGGTTGTCCCATGTCCTGGGCGGGGGTACTTCCCCAACCCCTGGATTGGCTGCCCCCATATGGTCCTGCATCCTCATTTCCTCTAAACACCTGAGGTTTCTCCCTGTTCTGGGTTTAAGAAAGTGCTAGGAAGTGAGCATTAAGGCCAAGCTGCCTGTGTGTCTGCCAGATCTGAGATTAGTTGTAAATCTTTCTGATCACACGGAGGCTCAGAGGTTCTGTTTCAAGTGAATAAGCCTTCTGAATAAGCACAGTGGAGTCTGGATAAAAAAAATCCTCCAGCGATTAGCAAAGCTATTTTATTCCTCATTGCTGTCCTTGTATCTGGGGCCATCTAATCTGCTAGGATGGCTTTGGTTATTACCTTGTGTTAAGTAGGACTTGGAAGGTCAGGCAGTTAACTAACCATCCCATCCCGACTCACCTCCCCTTTGCAGCCACTGCCCAGGCTGACTTTATGAACCTCCCCTGAGCAACAATGCTTATGTCCCCTTTGGACTTGCCTGCGTCTCATAAATCCAGGTTCACATGGGGGCCCTGGAGTGGCTAGGTACATATGAAAGGAATAACTGAAGCTGAAAATCCATTTTGATGGCTTTAGTGTTGGTCCTCAGAAAGTTGCATTTTTGGAGAGGTGGCTTGCCTCTAGGAGAAGACCTAGACTGGACGTCTCAAGGCTTAGGTCTGGTCCTGCTTCATGGGACATTGCATGGTTCTCTTGGCCTCTCCCAGCTTCAGTTTCTTTATCTCTCACAGGAGCATCTTCCTGCCCAGACAGCCTCTCTGCTTAGTAAGGAAGACACGCCCCCCCCGCCCCCCCCCAGCAGAGCCCAAGTTCCCAGACATGACCTGGTTAATGGACCTGCTGTGGAGTGAAACGGGTCATTGATGCCCAACACCCTTCCTGTCTTCACATGGTCCTCATCCTCATTGCTATTTTCTCTTGGCTCTGTGCCCCAGTTTATGAAAGCTTTCTGCTAAAATATACCTATGGGGAACCCCCAGGAGCTAAACTCTTCACTCTGTGTCGCTCGCCCATATCCATGCACATCAGACTCACAGAGCAGGGGGGCAAGCTTGGGCCCCTGGATAGTCCAGTAGGAATGAGTCAGGATGCCATCCTGGGCTGTGTGCATATGAGGATGGTGTCAGAGGGGGTGTAGACTGAAGTAATCAGCCCTTTGGAAACCAGGTTGTCAACAGATGTGGCCCATTGCCGGAAGGACAGGGCTGTGTCGGGGTAGGAGGGGGGATGGCTGGACGGGCTGGAAGCTGTCCCAGAGGGGTTAGTCTGGAGTCCAATTAGAGGTAGCTTCATTCATATTTCCTTGCCTAGCCGAAGCAATAAAAAATACTTAGTTTTTTGGCCGCCTGCCAGCCAGAGGCGGGCTGGATCGATGCCGCTAAATGCCTGACATGACTCTCCGGTAGCAGCAAGGGTTTTCAGCCTGACTGCATGAGAAGAAAGAGCTCGCTGTTCTCCGAGCTGTGCTCTGGGTCGCAAGGAGAAACACGAGCTGCCACACGCCCCCTCCTCCCTGCCCGCCTGTGAGGACTGGGCCTGGAAGCATTTCTGCTTAGCACAGGGTGGCCACCGTCAGAGGAAGAGAAATAAAATGACGGTGATTTTTCTGCCAGGCTTGCAGCAGCTAATTGAATTGCAGCCGTGTGCACATCGACGCCGCTCTCGCACGGCTGTGAGGAAGGTTGAACTGCAGTTCCATTATAACCTCCATTTTTTTCTTCAAGGCTTGATAACTCTGCCATTTTAATTTGCTTCAGGCAGAAATTTGGCAGGGAAGGGATGCCCAGAAACCGGCTTAGCAAAGGAAATTAAGTTCTGCAGCTGGTTCCCTCACAATTTCCCCAAAAGCCTGTAATACCCCCCAGGAAAGTGGGGAGACAGAGGTGCAAGCTCATTCCACCTGCCTTTTGATACCCTCTTGTGAACAGACATCCCTCTGCATCCACACGTGTTCTTGTCACACACGTCTGCACTGCATGGAGATGTTGATGGCCTGGCCTTTCCCTTCCCTCCGGCTAGACTGGAAGCTCCTGGAGGGCAGGGCTGTGCCTGCTTCTTCCTCCATCCTGAGTACCCCACTCCCCCCACCCCAATGCATGGTGGGCACTCAGAATGGGTGCGTGGTGAGACAGTGAGGGAAGGTTAGGGATTGGCTCTTAAACCTGAGTAAACTGCACCAGCCCCCTGCGGGGTGGGGCATTGGTTCTGACTTTATCCTCTGGGTACAGAGGTTTGCTGTCAGGTGCCCCTCCCTACTTCCCAGCCTGGTGCTGACAGCCACATAGTACCATTCCTGGTCACTGACACCATGGTGAGCCCACGGTGAGCCCACGGGTCCTCCTCTGCAGGTGTGTCTTTCACCTTTGGGACAAATGGTTCCTAGGCTGCCTGTGAGGCTCTGCTGCCTCAGGTATAAGCCCATCTTCGCTCTCCCCAGGCTCTGAGTTCCAAAGTGCTCTCATCCTTACTTGCATTATATTTGAAGGGAGAGCTCATTAGGTCCAGGCCTGGGGAACTTGGCTTTCCTTCATGTTACCTCCTGCTGGTGGGCCTTGGGCACACTTCCCGACCTCTTTCTCATTGTGACAGAGGAACAGGGAGGATTGCCACCTACCTTACTCCTTTTCTCATCTCGGAGGAAGACGATGTTGCATTTTCTGTCTCTTTATAATCCTGGTATTTCTCTAAAGTTGCACCTCCACTTAGAAAGCCTCTTGGCAGTTGCCATTGCTGTCGGGGTCAGCAGATGAAGTATTGTACGTGGTCCCAGTTTGTTGGCTCAGATCCATCTTTTAAGACTCTGCAAATTTTGCTTATTCCTTCTTGGAACAAATACGTGTGACGGGCACGAGATGGGGTGAAGGAGGCAGGTGTGACTGCTACCCTTATGGAGTGTGCAGTCCCATAGGCCAGAAGGCACAGGGCTCATTGCAAGGTTACTTAATAGTAGCGACTTTGCTACAAAAGAGAATTATGCTCCCAGAGCCTGTCTCAGGAAACCTAGTCTGTGGAGTCATGAAAGCTTTCCTGGAGAGGCACCGATACAGCCTCTACCTGTAGGACACAAAGGACACCTCCACGGACTTCCTGAGTTACCACACTTAGCTATGACTGTGTGCATGAAATGATCACACTGAATTTCCTTCCTGTTTCCAGAACAACTCCGTGTCACCCTCAGAAAGCCTGCGAGCCAGTGAGAAGCACCGGGGCTCTGCAGACTACAGCATGGAAGCCAAGAAGCGGAAGGCCGAGGAAAAGGACAGCCTGAGCCGATACGTATGTCTGAGAGCGTGGTGGGCACCGCTGGGGTTTGCATTGAGCAGGCTGGGGTGTGGAAAACCACAGGACCTGAGTTGTGGGTGAGTCAGAAAGACATAGGTGGAGTCAAGGGCAGGAGAAGGGGTTCCACCAAGGATTGGTGGTGACCTAGGGAGGTGGAGCAGGGAGGAGTCGGGAGAACAGAGGGCACCTCCCACGGGCAGGCCAACAACCCCGGCCGCCATCATAGCCCTCCTGGAGCGCCTAGTCTGCTATAGGAAGCATCCGTGGTGCCCCGTCCCTGGACCCTACAGCTTGGTCATGGTTTCTGCTCTGCAGGCTGTACAGTGCGCAGAGGTGAGAGCTGTGATAGAAGGGTGCTGCTCTGTGGGACCTCGTGTGGGTCTTGTGCCAAGCCCTGTTCATCCACTTGGCTGCTCTGTGATTTTGGACATGTTGCACAGCCGAAGCCTCAGCTGCATTTCTGGGCATTGTGGGTCATCTTCCCTCCCACACAGTGTGTGGAAATGGTGAAGTGAGACTAGTTCACTTCCTTGTAAATGATGGCAGATATAAACCCACCAGAAAGCAGTGTCTGGTTCCAGAGGGACAAGTTAAAGGGGCTTAGAAATATAATAGGCCAGGTTTCAGGCTGCCAATGGGTGTCGGGGCAGAGTGATCACCAGAGTTGGGGGACTGGGCTAGGAAATAGTGAGGAGGAGGCCCGCCTTTGGTAGAACTCGAGGTTTGGCCTGGGTTCAGATCCTGGCTGGTGGAAGCAGGGTGGGATGGTCTGGTGGGGAGGGCATGGCCTCTTATTGGCTTTTCTCTCCCTTGCAGGACAGTGATGGGGACAAGAGTGATGATCTAGTGGTGGATGTTTCCAATGAGGTAAGAAGGGCAGGTCCAGATTGCAGGGTGTCTCTCGACTTGGGGGTTTGAGAGTGTTCCTCCCCTGGGTGGGTGGGAGCTCTTGTGTCTCAGCTGCTGTGCTAACGTATTGGCAACCTGAGCAGGGTGATGAGGCTTCTGAAGTTGGGGCATCAGGCTGGTGGGGAGGAGCAGGGCAGGGCTTTGCTGTAGGGTGGCTGGGCATTCATGGGCACTGAGGGGTTACTAAGACAGGTTCCCACAGAGAGACCCCCAGAGATCCCAGAGTGGGGCCAGCACCCATTCCTCGTGTTCCTCCAGGTCAGTTATATTCTGCTCACCACCCTGGGGCCTGGAGGTAGGGGTTGTGAGCCCCTTGGGTCAGCCTCAGCAGGGAAAGTGGAGCTAGAACAGATCTACCGAAGGCTAAGAAGCCCAGCCACCAGATTTGAGTCCTGAACTGTGTGTGATTTTGGGTTGGTCAGNAGCTAGAACAGATCTACCGAAGGCTAAGAAGCCCAGCCACCAGATTTGAGTCCTGAACTGTGTGTGATTTTGGGTAACTAGATCATTAGAACTAGTTACCCCACTTTGGGATCCCCAGTCTCTGTCACCCATGCCCTTTCCCTTCACATTCCAGAGCAAGAAAGAATCTAGGCTGGTTGTTGCTTTGAGTACAGTTCTGCCTCGCTTGTGTTTTTAGGACCCAGCAACACCCCGGGTCAGCCCAGCACACTCCCCTCCTGAAAATGGGCTGGACAAAGCCCGTGGCCTGAAAAAGGATGCCCCCACCAGCCCTGCCTCAGTGGCCTCTTCCAGCAGCACACCTTCCTCCAAGACCAAAGACCTTGGTCATGTATGTGGGGCCTGCCCTTGGTGCTGCAGAGGATGGGGGTGGAGGGAAAACGTTCTGGAAGAGACTGGAGCTAGAGTGGTACTGACTGGAGGGCAGAGGGATGGAGTAAAATGGACATGGGTTGGGGTTTGGTCCAGGTTCAAATGCTGGCTTTACTTCTTGGCCTGTCCTAGCTACTTAATGTTTCTAAGCCTTGGTTGCTGCATCTACAGAGTGGGAACCGTCACCATGGTCTCTGCTAAACAAGGTTGGGCAAGAATTGAGTGGCTGTTGGGCAAAAGATTCAAAACTCTGGTGGGGGGCTGCCCCTGTGCTTCATGTCATGACCAGCACTTGGGATAGAGAGCTTCATGGTTCCCCTTGGTCTCTGTGTCTTTCCTGTTCAGAATGACAAATCCTCCACTCCTGGGCTCAAGTCCAACACACCAACCCCGAGGAATGATGCTCCAACTCCAGGCACCAGCACGACCCCAGGGCTCCGGTCAATGCCAGGAAAACCTCCAGGCATGGACCCGATAGGTATAATGGGTAGGCACGACAGGGCTGGGACACCTGTGGTCGAGGGGAGGGCTGGAGCTGCACAGAGGGGCCAGAGCCCTGGGGAGTGTGTCGGAGCTGAGGCCCCCCCAGGGTCTGCCTTTGAGGGACTTCACAGTCAGGTTTCAGGAGGAAACAGACTGGTGTTTCAACACTGATGTTCAGACTTCCCGGGGCCACTGCTGGGCTAGGCATTTGCAAGGAGCTTCAGAGAGGTCAGGACACCCACGGTTTGTTCCTGCCTCTGTTCTGAGGCTCTGAACCGCCTTCTTTGGGCTTCTGTGACCTGCTCTATAAAAAAAGGTGGGCACATCTCTCAGCTTTAATCTTCTTAAGCTACAGAGATGGGGATCCCTGTTAGGGGGGTTTCTGAGAGGACTGCCTGCAGCAGGCAGCTTTAGAATGCTGGGAGGATTGCTGCTGTGTGGCCTGGCGGCCTGCTGTCTGTCTGGAAGGAGGGGTGGAGCCCATTCCCCTTGATTGCCACTTCCCACTGATGCCCTCCTCCTTGCAGCTTCGGCCCTGCGCACGCCCATCTCCATCACCAGCTCCTACGCAGCGCCCTTTGCTATGATGAGCCACCACGAGATGAATGGGTCCCTCACCAGCCCCAGTGCCTACGCCGGCCTCCACAACATCCCTCCCCAGATGAGTGCTGCCGCTGCGGCCGCCGCTGCCGCCTATGGCCGATCACCAATGGTGAGCTTTGGAGCTGTACGTAGACTTTTTGGCTCCTTTTTGGGGGACTGGCAAGGAGTGGGGAGCTGGTTAGGGGGCACTTCCTGTATACCGAAAAGGTCTCACAACAAGGCAGCTAGCTGCCTTTGGAGGAAAGTGCTCATTAGAAACAAGAAAACAACACACTTGGGGATCAGCAGACCCAGGCCCACCCCTGCTTGCCCATCAGCTGCCATGTTACCTCACGTGATGTAACCTCCCTGGCCGCCCCTTTCTGTCTGGAAGGTGGGGCAGATCCCTGTCTTTCCAGACTCCATGGGGATGGGATCCCAAAATGAGTCAGGTGACTTCTAGGGAGCAGGAGTTTGGCGAATGGGGCTATCTGTTAGTGTTTATGAGAAGTTTGGATTGGGTTGGTAGAGAGAAGTGTCTTTTTTCAGGAGACAGTTTCTGTCTACCTCCTATACCTGGAGTCCTCTACATGGCAGGCCTGCTGGGACACTGGAGGGATGATAGTGGGGCGGAAGCCACTGCTTAGTGGAGCAGGGAGGGCGGGGGAGGTGGATACTGGTTCAGAGTTGGGAGGTCTGGACTGTCACCCCATCCCTGCATTATCCTAGGCAAGGCACTTGGCCCTCCTGGGCCTGTGTTTCCTCTGAAACAGTGGGCTCTGCTCTGCTTGTCTGTCTCCCAGGTTCTGAAGAAGCAGAACTATGCAGGCAGGACCCAGGAAGTAGAGGAGGAGGAGGCGGGGGATGGCATATAGTATCTTCCTCACTAAGGGCTTGCCTTGTCTTACCTTACAGGTTGGTTTTGACCCTCACCCCCCGATGCGGGCCACAGGCCTGCCCTCAAGCCTCGCCTCCATTCCTGGTGGAAAACCGTAAGCTCTGGCTGTACTTCCTGCATGCTTCTTGGGGAGGTCAGGGGAGAGCACAACCCCCCCATCCCCTGTGCTGGTGGACCTCCCTTGAGAAGGTGTCAGTCTGCCTTTTGGAGGTTCTTATAGACCAGGCTGTAACCACAGGAAATGGCTGCCTGTCCATACTCCTGATCAGCCCAGGGTTCCCTCTAAAAGGGGAATTGAGAGAGGCTTGAGGGTATGGTCACTGGGTTCTGGGAAAAGGAATACGGCAGGTGTTAGGGCCTCCTAACCAAATGGCACTGTTGGCCTGGGGGCTCCTTTGGGTTCTACCTGTTTGAAACACCCCCAGTAGCCTGAAGCACCAGGCAGACCACAACGACTCACCTCCTGGCTCTGATGTATACTCTACAATTTATTTGGGCGTGTAAACAGATCCCCCCCACCTGGGGTGGCACTCTGCTGGGTCCTTTCCAGGGGCAATTGGTGTGTTAGGGATGTCATAGATAGGTGATGGGAGAGACCGTTCCAAGATCAGGTGGGGCTAGTGACCTGGTTTGGAGCAAGGATGTGTAAGCAGGAGCAAAAGTCAAGGCTGGAATATTAAGTAGTCCTCACCCTGGTGGAGCCTGGCGAAGAAAGTTGGGGTTACCAGGTTCCTTAAGATTTAGGGGGCAGCTGGAGGCAGAGAGGCCAGTCGGGTGGTGCTGGTGGAAGAGGACAGGACATGGGGGAACTAGGAGATAACTGAAGATAGCAGAAGTGACAATTCTCCCCCTTTCAGAGCCTACTCTTTTCATGTGAGTGCTGATGGGCAGATGCAGCCTGTGCCCTTCCCTCACGACGCCCTGGCAGGCCCCGGCATCCCAAGGCACGCCCGGCAGATCAACACACTCAGCCACGGGGAGGTGGTATGTGCCGTGACCATCAGCAACCCCACGCGGCACGTCTATACAGGTGGCAAGGGTTGTGTGAAGATCTGGGACATCAGCCAGCCAGGCAGCAAGAGCCCTATCTCCCAGCTGGACTGCCTGGTGAGGATTCCAGGGCTGTGGGCACCTCTAGCTGGCATGGGAGAGCAGAGTAGCCTGGGCCAGGGGAAGAGCCCTGTCAACTTGGCCTGGCTCAGCCCTGTATTGGCTGGGTCTTTGGGCAAGCTGGCTAACCTCCCTCCCTCATTCCCAGTTTTACTGTCTAAGTATTAGAGATGATACTGACCTCCTGGGGTCTGTAAAAAAATGCGTGAAAGATTGAATGGTTGTGAATGAGCAATGGAGATGACCTGGCAGCTTCCAGGAGCAAGAGCAAGATGTGTGTGGGGGTGGCAGGGTGCTTGGAGTTGCTGGATGTGACTCTCCTGGCCCCTGGGAAGGCAGGTGGGCAATGCTCAACAATGCCTTTTCTTCCTACAGAATAGGGACAACTATATCCGCTCCTGCAAGCTGCTCCCTGATGGGCGCACGCTCATCGTGGGCGGTGAGGCCAGCACACTCACCATCTGGGACCTGGCCTCACCCACACCTCGCATCAAGGCCGAGCTGACGTCCTCTGCCCCTGCCTGCTATGCCTTGGCCATCAGCCCTGATGCCAAAGTCTGCTTTTCCTGCTGCAGCGATGGAAACATTGCCGTGTGGGACCTGCACAACCAGACGCTCGTCAGGTGCTGCTGTGGGAGGGACCTTTGCAAGTCACCTAGCCCTGTGTCTCAGTACCCTCCTCAGAGTGAGACATGGTGCAGCAGCAGCAGGGCTGGCTCAGAGTTGGCTCTCAGTATACCTTGGCCATCCTTGTATGTCACATTACCATACAGCTTGTGTATGACCTCAGCCCCAGATGTGTGTGTGGGGTAAGGAGAGGGGTTAAGAATGCACATTGAAGAGATACAGCGTGTCCACCTAGGGAGGTTCCTTTGTTACGCACCTGCCCCTGGACATGACCCTTGAGTGGAAGTGGGAGAGGGGCTAGACCTGGCTCTACTGCACGCTCACTAAGAGACCATGGACACAATTGTGTACCCCCTTCTGGGCCTCAGTTTCCTCTTCTGCTCAGAGGCTGCCAGCTTGGTATTCAGTGGTGCCCTGGGCTCACCCCTCCTCCCTGCTTGGCTTTCATAGGCAGTTCCAGGGCCACACAGATGGGGCCAGCTGCATAGACATCTCCCACGATGGCACCAAGCTGTGGACTGGGGGACTGGACAACACCGTGCGCTCTTGGGACCTGCGGGAGGGCCGGCAGCTGCAACAGCATGACTTTACCTCCCAGGTGAGCAGCTGAGATCCCCTCCCCTCC